GTTCAGTTTTGTGTGTGCGTGTGTGTGTATGTGTGTTTGGCCTTAGAAGAGCAGTCAGTCTTCAGTTTCGCTTCGACTATAACAGAAGCAGTAATTGTGTTATTGAAATTGTGAATAATTGTTCTTGCAAGTGTAGAGGAAATTGGCCAATAAACATATTCGCCAAATCTGAGAACCGCGCGAATTTTCTTGCCGCGTTACCTAGGCAATACGCGACAATATGTTCGCACTGTTCCCATGTTCGTATTTTTCGCCGTAGAAAAACAAAGAACATAAACTTTTGATGGTGTCTTGTGATATGACGTTGAAACAAAGTTTCATGAAAATCCGCTAATTGATTCCACGTTCTTGCAATATGTGGCAGGATTTAGTGACGTGTGAACATTTTCATACCGCAAGGCCTGGTAGTTTGTTTCTTTAACGAAGGCATCTCAGTTGCACAGGATATATAGCGTTACTTGGAAAGATGGTTATTGGTGATTAACACTTTAAAGGCTAGCGACTGTTATATGAACGGACTGCTTTAACATAACAAGACTCTGCAGTCTGCACACAGTGTGTTTCTTATGGTTCTTAGAGTAAAAAGTAACTCTTTCATTAAACGGCATTGGCCGGTTGGTTTTAGTGGCGGAAAGGTAATAGAGTTTATTGGCAGTCGGCCCTAGCTGCATCATGCCAATTGTTTGCTTGTTTGTTTGTTTTTTGTCTTTTTTATACATATATGTGTTTCTTAATTTATGTACCGATGGGTTTCCAGTTGAATGTAATAAACGATATCAAATATGTGATTGATTAGTTACTATAGGATTCTGACGATGGTGTATAACACACAGAGATATTGGGTTTTCGGACTTTATCCATCGTCCTGGTTTTTTTTTTTGATAAATAAGAAAAACAAGACGTTTCGGATTGAGGCTAGCTCTTTCTAAGGGACCCAATAGAATAGGTGTTTTTCCCTCACCTGAGAACGAATACAGATCCAGTTTCCGAAACACCGTGTTTTTCTTAGTTATCTTAAAAACCAGGACGATGGATAAAGTCGGAGAACCAAATACTCTGTATGTGATTGATGTTAAATATTTTGGAGAAAGGGGATTTATCCTGTTTACAATTCTGTCCTGTTATGTAATTAGAATATCTAAGGATAAATAAAACATCTACGGAGCCCTGTCTCTACCTGGATAATGGAATCTGAAGCCCCTAAGTAAAAGATAGTCGTAATAATAACTCGTCCTTAACGTCAGATTTCGAGGCGCTCTTTGTCAGAACACACACCGACATTTCTTTGATTTTATTTTGTATATGCTTGTTAGTAACAAGCGTGTCAAACTTATGGATCAGTCGTTAACGTAAATATTAGTATTCAAATGCTGGACAGTTGGACAGAGATCACCGCTGTTCATACTGAAAATAAGAAATAATATCTGTGAGTTTACTGGCCACCAATCGCTGTAGGATATGAGAGAGGCCAGGTCAGAAAATGACTTATACATTCAATATACCCGAGACAATCGGCATTGACCAGCATATAACAGAATGAATGGACTATTGTCACACACCATCCTCCTGCATGCATGTGTAATTGGAAATTGTGCCCTACAGCAACTAATTTCACACATTGTAGTACTGAGGTACAGATCATATAGAAACTGGATCAGTAAGAGATCTGTATTGCAATTATTAAAGGTTTCGTGGCGAACGGAAAATCTTAACACCAAAATTTCTTCAGAAAAATATATGGTTATTATCCACGACATATTTACATGAAAAAGTGTGTTTATTTCTCTAAATCAAAATTAAAAAAGCTAGGTTTTATTGCAAGTGAAATTCCTGTGTTCTGTTTTCTTATCCTTAATATTCAAAGGAGACATTGTTTGAAAAATTTTCCAATATTCTGAAAGTGAAAATTTTCGTTCAGTCCATTGTACTTTTCTATTAACAAACACTGAAGCAATGAGTGTAATTCAATTGTTGTCTCCATTAACACTATTAATCCTTGTGTTCTCTAACCATAGTCAGGGGGTCATGCTAAGCGGCCAACAGAAAATAGTTAAAACCAGTTACTAAGGTAGACTACTTTCATTGAACTTCGTCAGTACCATTACTGACCATTAGTCTTCCTTCATATCCGGGAAGTGACGGAAAAAAAATACTCCTGATTGATCTTGTTCGTGTGAAATGCTACAGCGTTTTCCCGCTTGTCGTAGAGCCGCGTGCGTGCCAACCTCCGCCTGAGCTAGTCAAGGATTTGCGACAAGCTCTCATGCGATCGCACTGTACTAGGGAAAGGCATTTATATTTTCCTTCTAGATCTTTCCCTTTTCGCTATCCCATCTCTTCCTGTCGTTCTGCTTTTTATTATGAGTGTAGTTTAGAAAGAGTTATTAAATAAATGAACTGCGTAATATAGGCCCATATTTTCCTTTTCTTACATAGGTATATTTGTAAAGTAAAAGTAAAGCTATCCCTGTAATAGGCCGTGAAGACCCACAGGGTTTTGAGACGTTAAAAGTGCCACATTGTCTAGACAATCTGCTCAAAGATGGCGGTAAGGTTGTCAGCCTTACGCACCGGCCGCGCTTTACTCTCCAGGAAAATTATTTAATTAATTCCTGGTACTCATTTCTGTTAGAGGCTGAGTCGACCCCAGGGCCATAGTGCGGCTGGAAGGATTAGGTCAACTGAAAAAAATCCACAGACCTCATCGGGACTTGAACCCTTGACCTTTCGGCTTGTATCATAGTGCCTCAGTCAACTACACTACCGCGTGCACCTAGCTATATTTGTACATAAATTAATTTCCTGTATTTACGGAAAAATTTGTTCAATGTTCTTCCTGACTTGCGATTAGACAGCGAGATAGGACCACTATAATATTAGTGAAGTCGAACGGCCCAGATCCTCAAGCTCAACAAAAAACCTCCATGGCTTTGGTCTGCAAGCGAACTGGCTACAGATTCAGAGGCCCATGTTCGATTCCCGGCACTACCAGATTTTCTGAAAAGTAGTAGGTCTGGAACGGGGTTCACTCAGCCTCGTGAGAATAATTGAGGAGCTATTTCAAGAAATAGCGGCTCCGGTTTAAAAACTGAAACTAACGGCCGTGGGGATTCGTTGCACTGACCACGCGACATCCTCTATCCGCTAAAGTTGGCACTAACTTCGCCGACAGTCGGCGGTCGCTCGGTCGGCATCCTCAAGCTCACATGTTCGAATTGTAAATAAATAGTAAATACACGTACGTGCACTAGAGACGGTAAAAATGTCTCTCTCGAACAGCCATGGGTTTTATTATATATTTTTCTTTATATTGCAATAATTGTAATATTTTTTCTTAAAGTAAAGATACACACTATTTATTGAGTGTAAGTTAAACTCACCAATGGCAGGATTCGGTTATTTTAAGAGTCTATATTCTGCTCACAGTCTTCATAGAAGTTATCTGTAAAATGCTTTTCTGACGGTCTGTTGCAAAGGTTGATTCATTATGCCGGCATGTTACTTTACATCTGTATAATTCCCAGTCAGATATCTGTCAGTATATTGATAAAATATCACCTGAAGACGGGAATACGGCCAACTTCCGAAAGGTCGTTTATCCAATATGCATACTTACACAATGTGCGCTCTCCAAACATGCCAGTCATATACAAGCTAGCAGGCTCCTGATTATTTTAGTGTATTTTTAGTAACCACGTGTTCCCACAGTTCGTAAGCACTCAGACGAATTCTGCTTATAGCTATCATCACTCCCGCCATTATATAATCTTTGGTTCTCCATTCTGTATTGTTGTCCGTCTCTGGATTGAGTAAAGTAGTGCTGAGACATCGTTACTTGAGTGGCGTCGAGTGGTCAGTGACAAGACAAATGAGACAGCATCATTCTTATGAACTTCTATGCCATACATATATGTATCCACAATGACCTGTGTGTGTGCTGATTACGAGTACAATGGTGACGTGAACTAAGTCCACACTATTACTTTACACGTGAATGATGTCCCGTAAAATGATACTGTGGCACAGACCTTTAATATTAAGTTAATTAAGTGAATGAGGGTCATATTTGCCTAGTTTTCCGTTTTGACAAAGATCTAATAAATTAGTGATGACTGAATATGCCTGTACATGAAATTTAAATTACGTGCATCATAGGAGACGACGAGAAACAATTCATGTTTTATAATTACTTTCCGTACTTTTAATTTATTAGATTTCTGTCCAATGTGAGATATGAAATTTTCATGTCACATCAGAACCTGATGTTGGGGACATGAATGGTTCCTGAAACGTTAGTCATTTTTGAACAATTAAAGTGGCTGATAGCCTGAGAAAATTGTGTTAGCTTTCTGTTTCTGAGAGAAACGCTCAGTTGTAATAACATGTAAAAGTTAAAAACTTATGTTACTCTTGTTTTGCTTCGTACGTACATGAGCACATAATATGAGGAAACATGTAGAGAATTAATGGAAGATTTCCACACTTTCTCGATATGTTCAATAGGTGAACCTGAACAGCTCAGAAGAATCCCTTCTCCTGAGATGTGGAGCCGTGTAGATCATAAAAGGGATACACGACGCCACATCCCAGAAGAAGTAATTCTTCATAGTCACCGCTGTGGAAACCCCACACTTAACATGAACAGCTAGTTTTAGGTTCAGAGCATCTTTACCCCTCCTAATGCGGCACTGTCCATGGCATCTCTTAGCACGTTAAAGAGAAACGCATGTTTCTAATATCCTTGCCAGGACTCAGTCCTGTCCAACTTTCATGAGTTACCGTTTATATGTAGACTCCGACGGGGAAGTGTAACACTCAGAATTACTGGGTTTTTAGACTTTGTCCATCGTCCTGTAATTCTGAGCTACCGCATATATATGTGCACATGTAAATACGAGTATTCTGACATGTTGTGACATAATGACTAGTGCATTACCGTGCAGCTGCAGGATTAGGTGAGCTAATTAGGAAGTTATGCAGAGGAATACATCCCAACTCACCTTCTTCATTTCCTCGTAAGTGTTGAAGAGAACATTGGGCTCATCCCTTAGTCTCCAGTAGTCCAGAACATGATCCCAGAAAGGACTGTAAACGACTGCAACAATGCATTATACAAATGTCTTTAAAGTGTTGAAGTAGAGCGCAGTATCTGTTCATTGTGCTGGCATATCAGTGTGATTGTGTGTCTCTGGTCAGCAATTGTTTTCTTACTACAATTACTTTCCACATTACGAAGGAAATACGTAGACTCGAAGAGCGTGCGATGAATCTTTGTTTTGTGGCATTATAAACGGAAAGAAAATTACCCTTCTCTCTCGTGACAATTCAAGACAACTATTTTCGCTATCCAGAAATTTCAACATAAAAGTTACAACGGAAATATTAAATAAAAGAACGTCATCTTGCTGAAACTGTCAGCATGGAACGAGCGAGAAGAAAATCTCACAATCGTGTAGAACGGCAAGCAGAAAGAAAACCGTTTTGTTTTGTATTAAAAACTCCTTAGTACAAATCTTCCCATGCCGACTTCTTAAATATAAATAAAGACATTTATTTTATTTTTTAATGTTTCAATAATATCTCGAGATTTTAGTTCTTGAAAGCCACTGATAGTAGGAAACTCAGAATTAGAAACACGACACTAAGGACTTTTTGGTAGATTTTGTAGTAAGGAACATAGTCATAATGAAGCGAATAATATTTTTGGATGAATGTTTAGCTTGTCTTTGCTATGTTCACAACAGATATTATAAAAGTGAGCCATATAGCTTCGAAATATTTGTCTGTCTGTCCGCACTTAACATCTAGCGGACACCTGACAAATTTTAACGAAACTTCATATATGAATGTTTTACTAAACTACGTACACACATTTTAAATTTGGTTATAATCGATCAGCAATAACGGACGCTTCATATGAAGACATACATATGCTTATGGTGCATCTCCAGCTTAACTTATTAATACTAATCGAGGTGAAAAATATTTCTAACAGAAGCTGCAGGGAGGAACGAAATATTGTTTTATATTTGATATATTTTTTCCTTAAGTGTAGTGGTTTCTGAGACACCCAAACCAAAGAGCGCGAACACGCCGGAATTGTTACAATATGCATACTAGCAATAATTTTTTAGTTTCGTGGATTAAAGACGCCCAGTGGGGAGAAGAAACATGTATTTTGTTATTAACTTCATAATATTTACTCGTTGTTAAATGTTAATATTTGCACATTTTCTGCATAATTAGTTTCATTGTTTACTACTTGCTAACCATTCGGTAGGATATTTTAAAACTATTTTTTTCCAGGCAATAAATATTTCTTGCTTATGAAACATAATTCACAGACGAATTGTTCCAGATACTCACGGACATCTGCGAGAAAAGCCTCAACGAAATCTTGAAACGTGCCTACATATCCATTCCATAATCTGTGATGGTGATAGTAGGATACCACAGCGTCCTTTGGGTTCCGAGAAACATAAATGATCTGTTAATGAAGAGAAAGAGAGTTTGTTTATATTTATTTCGTATAGAAATTTAAATGTCGTTTCTAGATGTCACATGAATTGTTGTAAATTTCAGTTTTAGGATATTATTGATATTTTTACCTAAAACACAACACTTTGGGGCTTTCTTTAAATTCGTTACTTAGTGACGATGTCAGACTCGAGACTATACCACTTCGATGGTAGGGTGATTAATAAATGTGGTGCAGCTGGTGGAATGAGAATATTCGAGCTGCATCTGTTTTCTTCTCCGGATGCACTTCGAATGAGAAATCAATTCTGATTGTTCTGTTAGATTCCTTGCTCTCTACTCTTACTCTGCGCAACTGTACAGATATAAGGATGTTTAGCTCAGGATAATCCGTCCCCAGTTGCTGTCTCACAAACTGTTCTCATTCTCACTTAGTATACGCTTATTTAATTAATCTCTTTCATTCTCCCTTATAATGGTATTTGGGACGTGTTTTATGAAAACAAAATTAACTTTAGAAGTTTGGAAATGATGAAAATTTTAAATGACACAGAGAAACTAATCTGGAAAGAAAGATAATATTAATATTAGAAAGTTTAGGAGAAGGCACGGTAACTTTGCAGCAATGGGCAGCCAACTGTGGCTACATCCAGTTTCATTTTTCGGAAAAAAAATTGATTACTGTTTGAGTATATCCCTCTGAATTACAACGCCTTGTAGCCTTCAGAGATCATGAAAATTTCGAGATAAATATTGCATCCATCCTTACAGAATGTGAGAATCACAAATAAATCATTGATTAGGTTTAGCCGCAGTGTTCAAACAAGTGCATATAACCTAAAATTTGCTCTTCTAAAATATAAATATTTGCTGTCAATTTAAGCAATACTAATTGATTCGATCTATAATTGAGAGAAGTCAGCACAACAATTTATTATAAACCGATATTAAAATGTTTAATATTCTTGTTATTTCATTCAGTTACATGTGTTCGATCTGCAAAGATCATCACAGGCGGTTTATAAATAAGTATGTAGTTACTGAATTATCAAAATGAGTCCAATTTTTTTACATTTTACCAATAAAGTTATAATCTAAATTTCAGTAAATTTTTTAGTTGGAAATTTCTCGAATAATATGTGTTGTAACATGCCAAAGTGTATATGTGTTAAAGGTAAAAATCTAGTAGCTTAAATAAATTAAATAAAATAGAATTTTAGTGTTAAATGGAGGGTTGTTTATGGTACCGATCTTTATGGGGTGCAGATAAGCTTCCAATAAACCGAATATTAAATATTTTAATATCGGTTTATAATCAATTGTTGTGTTGACTGCTCTCTAACTTACCTTTAATCATGATATATAGTGTGATGCAGGAAATAAAGATAATTGCACTCGAAGCTGATTCTAGAACAAAACGAAGTAGATTAACCCAATTATTATAAAGGTTAATTAACACCGGCCAGTGTGACGGATAGAATGCTTATAGACCGAAAAAAAGAAAGAATTTTTAACAAAATCTCTTTTAAACATACTAACTGTAATTTGTAAATATTTTAACGTATTAGTACACGCCGCTGTATTTGTTAAAACATTAGTTTTTTGTATTCATTGTATTATCATAACATTGTATGTATATATTTANAGTCAATAATATATTGTCATATCTAATCCATGATACGTGATAATTTACCTTAGGCTTTTTGGTCCACAACTGAAGAGGCATCAGGTCCTTTGTTAAGTGAGTTTTAAAGAACCTCCGTGAAGTCATTTTGGTAAGGAACGTCAAAATGTCATCTGTACTCGTGATCGGGGTCGTGACAATTGCAGGAGACCTGTGAACAAAAGCACGCCGATTGAAAGCCTTTCCTGGGCCCGCAAGGTTGACTGACACTAGAGGCCTAGACCGCATGAGGATGTTTGCTGAAGCTATTACAAGCCATAGGAAAATCATTCAGCCCAGAATAATGATGTCATCAATGCAGACTACATGGCCTCTCTAAATAGCTTCCGGTGAGCTACAGTACCCACTCAATTCACAATAACAAGTAACCAGTAATACACCCATGCCTACCTACAGAATCTAGAATGGTTAACTCAGCTTCTTCTAGAATGCGATGTGATGTATTTTTTTTCCTTGGTTCTACAGCCCCAGTGGGCCTAGGCCTACCTCCATGAACTTCTCCGTTCACTTCGGTTTTTCTAGATCTTACACATACGGTATGACTCCTTGGGCGGGTGATCAGCTCGTCGCAAGGCCTCTACCTGTACACAAACACAGAAAATCGCAGATGTGATGTATTTACTCATGTAATTTTGCCTACTGATGACAGTCATGAGGGGTTGGTAATGAAGGTGTTTTCGTTACCGTCAGTATTTATCTTCCAGGAGCAGATTGCTTCTTAAGAAGCCAATAGTCACTCAGCTGGTCAAGAAATTCCGTGTTTTCACGACTTCCGAGGGTTCATTATCGTGTTCACAACAGCCCATCATTGGATTCTATACTGAGTCTGTGTAACGACTCTGTCGCGGTCTCAGAGCTCATATAATTGAATGATTGGATTGCATGATTAGCAAATTGGAAAATGCGGAAAGAAAGCTGTCGTGATATGACTTATGGCGCCGTCCTGAAATGTGACGGAAAGGACTGAGGAAAAACAATTAAAATCCTCAGTCAGGATATTTCGATATCCAGGCCAACATTCAAACTTACCACCGCCCGAATAAATATCAGAAATATCACTGCTTATGTCAAGTTACTCGGTTATATCTTTGAGTCAACTGAATTAAAACTACTTCCTAACGCATTATTCTTTTAACATCCATCTGTCTATGTCTAGATCTATCGAATGATGTCCTCATTTCAGTTTCTCCATCTAAGATGTTCTATACAAATAACACGTATTTCGTTACTGCCAACAGAGCATTGATTATCGGTATTTGAACCGTGGTCTCTTAGTGAAGTAACTGGATGTAGTTGCCTGGTAACAGTTAAATTTCCGTCAGGTTGGTGACAAATCTTTATTTTCATCCGGGATGTAATTAGCCTGTTGCAGCTTCCTATACAATTCACACCGAGAAGTATCTAACTCAAAGTAAAGGCGGCTGCAGCGTAAACCTCACCACTTAGCGCCGAAGGTAAGAATTGGAATGCGCATCTTTATCTTCAAGACTTTATTAGATTATTAAGCAAGTCTTATTCCTACATTTTTGTGTATTTTGGCAATAATAAGAAGAATAACGGTAAATATATTTTTAATTTTTTTGATAATAATGATTAGGGCAATATTGCACCAAACTTTGGAGCCATGGAGTCACAGAAGTTTTATGTGTCTGGCATTAAGTTTTCCTTCTGGATTTGTTTTTCTCTACATTTCAACGAGCATCATTTATATTTGTTATTGTTTCAGACATGGAGTTGTTGCAAAAAGCTTTAGCGGAAGTATATGTTACAACATAGCCACTTTAATACCGACTGATGCAACTGTGTTGCTGTTATGTACACGGTTCAGCACAATTCAAAGACAATCCTTTGGGCATGCGCGGGCAAGTTCGTTTGTGTGCATGTGTGCCGTCTCTGGCTCAAACATGGTTACATAAAACAATTATTTAGGTCGGGTTTGTACCCGAGAGGGGTAGGTCATATTTCAATAGGGAAGAATTCGTTAAATCTGAAAACAATATATTTATCATTATGATTTAGTTACAAAACCAAATTTACATATTTAACTTCGTTGTTCCTAGGTTATTTAAAATACATGAAAACAAAGAAATTAAATGGAAATAAAATTAAATAACATTCCATAAATCCCTAACAGAACTTTTCTTTCTTATGATACCGGTGCATTTTCATATGCCCTTTATATTTTCGCCAAAATTAAGAAAAAAATAGTTTTAAGAATGGGTGTAAGTAACTAACCATTCAACTAATTATCCAACTTTATGGAACACAGTCTTTCATGAAAGCTGTCAGTGACTCGCCTCGTCACGAAATTCCTCACCTTTTGCGCCACTAGAAAATTCAGTACCACATAAGATAGAGCAAGTGGAGTGCTATGTCAACCACATGAATTCAGTCAACGCATCCCCACCCAATTTCATTAAAGTCCCTTGTAGGATGGGAGCCAGGGTGGCGTAGTCGGTATAGCGACTGGCTACGGGCTGGACGACTGAGGAGTCGGAGTTCGAGTCACGATGGCGTCAATAATTTCCTCTTCTCCAAATAGTCCAGACCGGCTCTGAGGTCCACTTAAACTTCCATCCAATTGGTACCGGGGAGTAAAGCGGCCGGGGCGTGAAGCTACTCACCTCTAGCTAAGGCCGAGGTCAAAAGATGTGGATCTATACATCAGCCCCGCATAACCCTTAATGGCGTAGTGCTTAATTCGTTGAGCACAGGGACAACTATGCTTTTATACCTTTTTACTTTTTTACCTTGAAGTCCCTTGCAGGATTATCTTTCAATGCACCATTAAGTCTCCAGAGTTCTGTCTCTCTTTAGTTTTCCTTTAGGTTTTATAAGTATTCATGGACTCACAATACTTCCACATTAAGTAATTCATGTACATATTAAAACGCTCTAGAATATGTGATTAAGAACCAGGTTCGCGTTGTTTTACATAAGGATGTGTGTTGCTTTGCTTAGAAATATATACATCTGTTCTTTATTCCTTCAAAGAGTGCATTTGTAAATCCCTGTACAACACTATCTACAGTGTTTTCTACGTACATGCGCAGTGTACACGTACAAACAATTCCCTTCCTCGGAACTCTGATTTTATAAATCATTCACACTGTTGATATTTTAAGTTCAGCTTACAGACTAAACTTTTCATCTGTGAATGTCAAGAGTAGATCGTTAAAGTTCTTTATCTTGCCATATAAATTGTCATACAGGAATTCTGTTGAAAAGTTTCTTCAAGCGTGGAGAATTATTTCTGAAAGTTTCAGAAGAATTAATTATAAAAATGCAAAGTTTCATTGCTTCTTCCATCAGAATTCTGTGTAGAGCAGTTATTAACTTCACTGGTGTGTCCGTGTTTGCCGTCTGTTGAAGAAACAAATTTTTCCAGTACATCTGCATTTTGTTACAAATGTCTGTTTTAATACGTTTTATGAATGCCCCTTCATAACAGCAACAATAAGCAAGTTTTGCAGGTTATTTATTTAGCGCGGTAAAACGTTCGAAGCATCTAATGAAGGCATTGTAAAATAGAATTATTTTGTCTTCGTTATTCACTCAACAATGAGGTACGCGGTAGCGAAGTGGGTTGAGGCACTATGTTACAACCCGGGAGGTTGCGGGTTCGATTTCCGATTAGGTCATGGGATTTTTCAATTTACCTGATCCTTCCAGTCGCACTGTGGCACTGGGGTCGACTTAACATCTATCAGAAATGAGTACCAGGAATCTTCCTGGGCGTATAGGGCGGCCGACGCGTAAGGCTGACAGCCTCACCGACGTCTGTGAGCCGATTGTTTGGAGAAAATGTGAGTTTCGACATCTCATAGCCCTATGGGCCTCCATGGCCTGTCACAGGGAGTGTCTTACCTTCTTTTCATTCGCTCAACGTTGAAAGTAATACAACATAAATTATTTAAAACAGGATACGGGTGACTATGCAGTAATCGCTTTATACTCATCGTTACAAGTCTCTCAGCCAAGCTAGTCAGCGATTAGAGAATATTTAAAAGATGGCCCTCTCAGAAACACATTTAACGGACAAAATAAAATGTTTCTCTTCCTTATTTCTTTCATAAACTTTTGGCAGTAACGAACATGGCTGTAAAAGTATACGGCGCTCACATCTCGGGCCCATTCTGCAGTAGGAAATATAAATCATTGCTAACATCCTCCACGATGTTAAAATTATTTATAAGGATATAACATATAATTCTTATGAATAAGGAAAGCAAAAATACGTAATTTTATAGCTGCCTTATTGTAGTTAAACTGAATGACTGAGGTAACCACGAATATTTCCCCAATAATAAACAAGCCTTATATTCCCACGCAAATATTCGCTGAGAGTTAATATTTGTACAAATTAGCGGGAACAGAAAACTATATATCGAACGAATCAAAAATCAATATTAAATACTAAGGCTTCGCTCTTCACTTATTTCGGACACTAAACAATATAATATATGCATAAAAATCGTGTTCTAATAGACCACTACGTTAAGAGAAGAAAACATCTGATACAAACGCAGTCTAAAATCAGTAAAAATGTCATTTTCTTTATATATTCCTACGTTTTACTTAGTAAATATAAACACTTTTGTTTATTTATATACTTCGCTTTATGAGCGAAAATAAAAGATTTTTGCAATATCATCTATGTTATTTTAATTAAATATATATTTAAGTGCTTGTAGACCCGTAAATTCAAGTGAAAAGGGACTTCAATTAAATACGTATAATCTTCAGGTGTGTCTGGAAGACAATTTTTGATAAATGAATATACTAATTCTGAAATGTATGCATAAGGTTACTACTGTCTAAGTACCTCTGAAACGACAACGTTCAGAGAAAGGACGAAGTATGTTACATTTTTCTCTACAATGTATGTTCTAAGCCATTTTAACTCCGATAAATACGCATCAAGTCATGGTCGAGATAGGCGCATAGACTCATTTATATCTTGTAGATCCGTCTTCTGGGATGTAACGCCTTGTAGTCCGTTGAAAGTCAACTGACGTTTCGGAAAACACTTCGCCTCCATCTTCATGGTAGAAGAATAAGCCAATCAAGAAACCAGCGTGAAGTCAGGTGTCAAGCACTGCTCTGATCGCCACCTGTCTTCACCCTGGTTTCTTGATCGGCTTTCTCCGC